TATACATGCTAAAAGGTACATCTTCCTTAAGTTTTGTCCATAAGTGTGTATATTACGTTTTGATTTCATTTACATCAATAATAAGAATGAGATAATTATATTTTTAAAGCATTATTTTTACTTTACAAGCGCTTTCGGAGAATCCCTTTTATTAAGTAAAACGAAATAGGCGATTATGAGTCCATGAGTGTATTTACTGAAAATCGATTTTAAAAAAGAAAAAAAAAAAGATGTATTTTCTTTGTATGGACTTAAAGACTTTGAATCAATTTTTTTCCCCCATTAGAATAGCTTTGAAAATAGCAATTTAGTTCGATTTTATACCACGTTCTCTATTTCCTATTTTCGTCAAAAATGGCGACGGTAATGGCAGCAAAAAAAGGATTTTTTTTAAGTTGACGACACCATGATAAAACTACAAAAAAAAAAACGGTGTAAGTATTTTTTTTTTTTTTAAGATAATTTTATCAAAGGTGGGGATTTTCATTGACGTAAAAGAGAGACTCAAAACTATTTTTACTTCTTAAAAAAAAAAAAAAAAACGAACATTTTGTAAAAAGAAAGAGAGAATCCAAGAGAACAAACAAAAATATGCCTGATGTATATGACAATTTTTAAAACTAGAATGACATAAAGATAATGTTTGTCTTTTTAAATATACAGTTAAACCTGTCTATAACGCCTCCTCTTGGGACTCACAAAAATAGGGTGCTATAGACAGGTCACTTTTAATGTAAATCGCATCGTACTACGTATTTAAAATCGGGCGCTATAGAGAGGGAGGCGCAATTTAGAGGCAGGTTTACCTGTATTTAAATAATTTATATAATCAATAAAATAATGTTTTCTGATTAAATATATATTCCTCTATTCATATCTGCAAACAGCATTAAGCTATCTTTTGTATTTTATTTTTTATATGAAGCCTGAAGTAAACACAAGAATCCGACAATTATTGGTGAAGGAGTTTAAATCTGAAGATATTTAAGCCATTGTAATTCACTCAGGCTAAAGTCTGTGTATGAAGCCTATGAAGCCATGGATAGAAACACAATACAAATATGGATCCAGCGCTTCCACAGACTGGTGATTTTTGATATAAGGTTGTATATACCCCAGAGAGGAATACAAGAACCAGCCTACAGATTGGCACAATACCTAAGAGGAATACAAGAACCAGCCTACAGATTGGAACAGAGGAATACAAGAGCCAGCCTACAGATTGGCACAATACCTAAGAGGAATACAAGAGCCAGCCTACAGACCAGCACAATACCTAAGAGGAATACAAGAGCCAGCCTACAGACCAGCACAATACCTAAGAGGAATACAAGAGCCAGCCTACAGATTGGCACAGAAGAATACAAGAACCAGCCTACAGACTGGCACAGAGGAATACAAGAACCAGCCTACAGATTGGCACAATACCTAAGAGGAATACAAGAACCAGCCTACAGATTGGCACAGAGGAATACAAGAACCAGCCTACAAATTGGCACAATACCTAAGAGGAATACAAGAACCAGCCTACAGATTGGCACAGAGGAATACAAGAACCAGCCTACAGATTGCACAGAGAATACAAGAACCAGCCTACAGATTGGCACAGAGGATTACAAGAGCCAGCCTACAGATTGGCACAGAGGAATACAAGAGCCAGCCTACAGACCAGCACAATACCTAAGAAGAATACAAGAGCCAGCCTACAGACCAGCACAATACCTAAGAGGAATACAAGAGCCAGCCTACAGATTGGCACAGAGGAATACAAGAACCAACCTACAGATTGGCACAGAGGAATACAAGAACCAGCCTACAGACCAGCACAATACCTAAGAGGAATACAAGAGCCAGCCTACAGATTGGCACAGAGGAATACAAGAGCCAGCCTACAGATTGGCACAGAGGAATACAAGAGCCAGCCTACAGACCAGCACAATACCTAAGAGAAATACAAGAGCCAGCCTACAGATTGGCACAGAGGAATACAAGAACCAGCCTACAGACCAGCACAATACCTAAGAGGAATACAAGAGCCAGCCTACAGATTGGAACAGAGGAATACAAGAACCAACCTACAGATTGGCACAGAGGATTACAAGAGCCAGCCTACAGACCAGCACAATACCTAAGAGGAATACAAGAGCCAGCCTACAGATTGGCACAGAGGAATACAAGAACCAGCCTACAGATTGGCACAGAGGATTACAAGAGCCAGCCTACAGACCAGCATAATACCTAAGAGGAATACAAGAACCAGCCTACAGATTGGCACAGAGGAATACAAGAGCCAGCCTACAGATTGGCACAATACCTAAGAGGAATACAAGAGCCAGCCTACAGATTGGCACAGAGGAATACAAGAACCAACCTACAGATTGGCACAGAGGAATACAAGAATCAGCCTACAGACCAGCACAATACCTAAGAGGAATACAAGAGCCAGCCTACAGATTGGCACAGAGGAATACAAGAGTCAGCCTACAGATTGGCACAGATGAATACAAGAACCAGCCAACAGATTGGCACAGAGGAATACAAGAACCAGCCTACAGACCAGCACAATACCTAAGAGGAATACAAGAGCCAGCCTACAGATTGGCACAGAGGAATACAAGAACCAACCTACAGATTGGCACAGAGGAATACAAGAACCAGCCTACAGACCAGCACAATACCTAAGAGGTATACAAGAGCCAGCCTACAAATTGGCACAGAGGAATACAAGAGCCAGCCTACAGATTGGCACAGAGGAATACAAGAACCAGCCTACAGATTGGCACAGAGGAATACAAGAACCAGCCTAGAGATTGGCACAAAGGAATACAAGAACCAGCCTACAGATTGGCACAGAGGAATACAAGAGCCAGCCTACAGATTGGCACAGAGGAATACAAGAACCAGCCTACAGATTGGCACATAGCAATACAAGAACCAGCCTACAGATTGGCACAGAGGAATACAAGAACCAGCCTACAGATTGGCACAGAGGAATACAAGAGCCAGCCTACAGATTGGAACAGAGGAATACAAGAACCAGCCTACAGATTGGCACAGAGGAATACAAGAACCAGCCTACAGATTGGCACAGAGGAATACAAGAACCAGCCTACAGATTGGCACAGAAGAATACAAGAGCCAGCCAGCACAAGCCAGCAAAGAACCACCACCTTAGAGCTCTATGAGCCATCCAAAGAGGCAGGAAAGTAAATAAACAGAGGCAGCAGCAGCGGCTAAAAACTGCCTCTCCACTAATTGGCCAGCTTTCAATAAACCAGTTTGCTGATATTTCCTGAAGGAAGGGGGGATGTTTATCCCTTCTTGCACCAAGTGGGGGCAAACACCGGCTGGTGATGGAGGCACAGCAGCCAGTTAGCTGTGTTACTCTAAATATGTACAGATAAACTCAGCATCTACACTACCCATGTAGAAACAAAAATAGAGAAACATACACAAACTCAAGCTTGGCACTCTTTTATTAGAGAGAAAAAATTTCCATCCAGGGAAGTGCCTTGCAAAAAATATAATTTAATTAACTCGAGCTTTTAGGGCTTGGAACCCTTCTACAGGAGTTAGGTTAATTATAACACTGACTCAATTTTTTTGCCAGATATTCTCTCTGGTTCATTTTTTTTTTCTCTCAGATGATATCATATATGGTATTATTATTTTTGGAACTCTTTATATTCCAATGAAGAGGCATCTCAGAACCAAGAATGAAAAGGTTGAAGATGAGAGACTGAGACAATACACCATTCTCTTACCACTTATTTTTCCCCATTATTCCTTGTCTCCCAAAACCTCTAGTTGACCCTCTCTACACTAACTCCCATCATATATACATAACTCTGATTTCCTTATATTAACCAAATCTAAATTTTTTGAATGGTGTTATTGAGAAATCAAATTTATCACTGCCAACTCAAGTAGAGGGTACAGTTAAACCTGTCTATAGCACCCCCTCTTTGGACCCACCAAAATAGGGTGCTATAGACAGGTCACTTTTAATGTAAAATGTTTACATTTTAATGTTTAAAATCGGGCACTATAGAGAGGAAGGCACTATTTAGATGGGAGCGCTATAGACAGGTTTTAACTGTATTTTGTTACTTTTTTTTTTTTGTAAGAAAACTAGAAATCTACTTTATATAAACTAGACTGATTCTCACAGAATCTTCATATCAAGGTATATCCAAGTAAAATATCTCAATTGGTTGGATGTTCAGTTTGATACATAGTCTCCCAACTTCTTCAATGCCCCAAGGAATCTGAATTTTCGGTTGTATGTTGTTACCGAAACGTCTCACACACTATTTAATTGGTCTTATTAACTTTTGTTTCTGCGGGTGGATTTTTTTATAAAGGGAGTACATGAAAATAAGACTTAATCCAAATAATTTAATGGTGTGTGACATTTCGGTAACAACATTGTTACCATCATCAGACAAAAGAATAAATGAGAAAAATCCACTTGATAACAGTACTATTTAAGAACACGCTGTGATATTTTTCCTCATTTATTCTTTTGTGTGATGATGGTAACAACGCTGTTACTGAAACATCACATACTATAAAATTATTTGGATTAGGTCTTATTTTCTTGTATCTATAATTCAAATTGTGCTTTATAATTATTAGTGTTAAGGTGTCTTGTTAAATCTAGAATTGCACAACCTCCAAGAACTGGTGTTAAGACTTGAATAAGTACCCAGGGAGTGTTATGGCAGGTTAAATTAAAGTAAATAGGTTAAATGGGACTTGAAACATAATTGAATTATAGGAAGTGTGTTGAATTAAAGTTGTTGGTTGAATCAAAGATGGCAATTTGAAAGAGAAATTGTCACAATTGAAATATTCTCTACATTGACACCTCTCACTACAAGGTTAACATAACAAAATAAAACACTTTTCTCTTACACAAAACCACATCTTATCCAAAAGTTTTAATCCTAATACACTGGCTTGTTGTTCTTCACCTAATTTCTCCATTCTAGAATGAATTGCTCAACACGAGATAATTGAACCCGGGTCAACTGCTTGGAAGGCAGCTATGCTCATCATTATACCACCATTGCCTTTTTATTTGGTCATATTACCTCGTGTTTCTAATCTATAATCCAAATAATAAATACCCATAGACATGGGCAGTTTTTAGGCATAAAAGTCATCCGTCACTTTTCTCTTATCTAATTAACAAAATTAGGATTATTTTTCTCTGTTCAGGAAAACTCCTCTGAGATTTCTATATTTAAGATGTTTGGACAACTATCAAGATTGGGTGAGGTAGGGAAACAACAGTCTTTCCATATACAGACTTAAGTCTGGTCATCTACGGACAATGACTTTCCAACACACAATTTGAATTATTAAAAATAAAGAAGGCATATCCTGACCAGGAGCACATGTGTTTTTTAGATGGCAGAATACCATCTAGTGGAACAGAAATCAACTAAACATTGATTTAACCTGTTCCCTGATATTTGGCCAACCCATTTTCTTGATAAATCAAGAAAAGTCATCCACGAATGCGTTTCGCTCTGATGGCTCTCGTCAGAATGGAGCAGGTTGTACCACTGTGACCAAAAATCTTTTTGGTCCCAGAGGTTTCTTGAGATATCAAGAAATGGGTACAGTTAAACCTGTCTATAGAGCCCCCTCTAAATAGCGCCTTCCTCTCTATAGCGCCCGATTTTAAATACATGGTAAGATGTGATTTACATTAAAAGTGACCTGTCCATAGCACCCTCTCCCTATAGAAACCTATTTTGGTGAGTCCCAAAAGGGGGCGCTATAGACAGGTTTAACTGTATTTATTATTTGGATTATAGAATAGAAACACGAGGTAATAAGACCAAATAAATAAGTGACAGTGGTATAATGGTGAGCATAGCTGCCTTTCAAGCAGTTGACCTGGGTTCAATTACCTTGTGTTGAGAAATTCATTCTAGGATGGAGAAATTAGGTAAAGAACAACAAACCAGTGCATTAGGATAAAGGTAATAAGACCAAATCCAAATAAATAAATAGTGTGTGACGTTTCGGTAACAACATTGTTACCGAAACATCACACACTATTTATTTATTTGGATTTGGTCTTATTACCTTTTTTTCTATAATCTATAATCCAAATTATGCCATATGATCTGCATTTGGATTAAAACTATTGGATAAGATGTGGGTTTGTGTAAGAGAAAAATGTGAGTTTTATTTTGTTATGTTAACCTTGTAGTGAGAGGTGTCAATGTGTAAAAAAAAAGTTGGGAACCACAACAATAGATGTGGATAGAAGACAGCTGTAGGGAGATGTGATTAAAATGTGTTAGACATAAATAATGTGCTAAATTTAAGTTTCAAATGGGATGGGGGGGGGAGAGAGAGAGAGAGAGAAATGGGGACAAAATACAGTAGAACCTCCCTGTCTCTATTCTTCTTTCTTATCTCCACTCAATCATATCAGGGTATCAAGCTTGTAGAGCTTGTTGATGGTGTCTGCCAAGGATGAGTAGAGCTCATCAATGGATGAGTCAATAATGTGTTTTGAACCTCCCTGTAAAAGACAACACCTAATTGCAGAGCCAAAGTGTCCTTTAGGGAGACTTGTCCTCTTACCAGAGAGCGGCTAAATTGTAAAAATGGTCATTTTGGCCATGAAAACTGTCCTTTGTAGAGAGGTGTCCTCTAAAGGAAGGTTCTACTGTACTTGTAATATTGTAGGATATAGAAGGAGCTATATTTAATGGATAATAGAGACCAAAATTCAAATCATTATAAGATACTCTTTGAATTATTTTAATAATAATAAAATTTTGTATTTATTTGTTGCAGAATATTTTTATTTAATGTACAGATTAAACTGATTTTGATTTTTTTAAATTCTGTCTGATGATGGTAAAAACAATTGTTACCGAAACGTCACACACTATTAAATTATTTGGATTAGGTTTTATTTTCTTGTATCTATATCCAAATTCTGCTTTATCAACGTCACACACGTTACCTTATGTTTATAATCTCTAATCCAAAAATTGTGCCATATCAGGTATATATATTTAAAAATTAATATTAAATTGCTTCAATGGTCTCTTGACTTGCATGAGCCCAACCAGTGAATGCAAGTAACCAAACAGGGCTTTAGCACCTTTGTGACCCCAGTTATTGGAGAAAGAATAGCCAGTTCCTATGACTAACAAGAGTGCAGCCAAGAAGAAGCCAAGAGGTTGGCTAGCAAAAAATACAAATCAATCTATGCAAGTGATTTCCATATTTCATGGGAAGCGATCGTAAATGTCAGGAGGCTATTGATCAGCGAAGGCGGACAACATCTGATCTTGTGTGTCAGGGTAACATACCTGGGTATCTCCCTGACAGCACATGTCATCAGAGCAAACACCAAACTTAATGGAAAAAATACTAATACAAAGTACCAATTGATATTCACTGTTTGATTCCTGTCATATTGTATGCCATTGCTGACCTTTATTTATTAAGATGACATTTCTTTAGTAAACATAAGGTAATAAGAACAAATCCAAATAAATAGTGTGTGACGTTTCGGTAACAACGTTGTTACCGAAACGTCACACACTCTTTATACATTTGGATTTGGTCTTATTACCTTATGTTTATAATCTATAATCCAAATTGTGCCTTATCATTTCTTTAGTAGAAATTTCTTTCAGAGAGACAATGCTTCCTTGTGTTATAAATGTATGCTTATGATTATAAAACAACATTTGAAAATTATCTCGCATGTGTTTCCCCTGAACGAAAAATTGAAATTTATCCCATCCCTTGACACTTTATTTTTCCGTTTATCATCACTCTTCACAATTCATCCCTAAGGTTATAAAATAATCATTATTTCTCCTTAAAATAAATTTCAATTTTTCGTTCAGGAGAAACAAACACGGGATAATTTTCAAAAGTTGTGTTATAAATGTAGGCTTTATGATAAGGCACAGTTTGGATTATAGATTATAAACACAAGGTAATAAGACCAAATCCAAATGAATAAAAGTGTGTGACGTTTCGGTGAAGATGGTAACAACGCTGTTACCGAAACGTCACACACTATTTATTTATTTGGATTTGGTGTTATTACCTTGTGTTTTGTAGGCTTTATATTTTCAAAAATTATTCGCCGCGTAAACCGGCCACGCAGTCACACTGTGCCCCAGCTCTGCAGATTTTGTTGTCCAGCAATGACATTATGGAAACCCATAATCCATACAATAAACTGGCTGAAAGCCCTGAAAACCCTCTACAGGATGATATAAGAATAGAAATTATATTTTTCAAGTAAACTGGCGGGGGGAGTGATGTAGCAGCTCCCAAATATTAACTTTTCATATTTACATTACAAGTTTTAATTTGTTTAATACCTATTTAATTAAATATTTGAATTAAATAGTTATTAAACAAATTAAAACTTGTAATGTAAATATGAAAAGTTAATATTTGGAAGCCACTACAAGAAAATTCGCTGAGGGAAGAATTTATTTTTTTAATCATGGTTATACAAGCTTTTGGGCACAACAACCCTACAACAGACATAACCACGCTACCAAAAATTCAGTTTTAGTAGCGTAATTGTACCTGTTAAAGGGCTGTTGCGCCTGAAAGCTTATATTATCATGATTAAAAAGGAAACTCTTCCCTCAGCACAAACTTTCTTTTATTTATAATTTTACTGAAGGGTTTATATTTTTTTTGGATGCGTTTGAGGAATAGAGTAGAACCTCCATGAGAGGACACTCACGCTAGAGGACACCTCTCTACAAGGACAGTTTTCATTTTCAAAATAACCATTTATACTATTTAGCAGCTCTCCGGTAAGAGTACACCGCTTCCTAAAGAACACTTTGGCTCTGAAACTAGGTGTCCTTTACAGGGAGGTAGTTCTACTGTAGTGTCTTGTGACATTTAAAAAATATATAGTGGAGCCTCTTTAATTCAACTGTCTACAAGTCAAGACACTAACAAGATTTAGAACAGGCCATCTCAAGCCATTGAAGATAGAAAATAATAACAAAATCTACCCCACTTGCCCAAAATATAGCTTGGCACCTGCAGCTCCAGAACACATTTTGGCTTGCATTAGATGCACTAAACAGGACCTTTGGGAGAGGCCGCTGCTCATCATAAAACAGCTCGAGGAGCATGAACTCATGGAATTTGTGTAATCTTTACACAAGGGGATAAGAAACAACAACAACAAGTCAACACCAACTATAATTCAACCACAAGGTAATAAGACCAAATCCAAATAAATAAATAGTGAGTGACATAACAACGCTGTTACCGAAACGTCACACACTATTTATATATTTGTATTTGGTCTTATTACCTTGTGTTTATAATCTCTAATCCAAATTGTGCCTTATCACTATAATTCAACCATGTTTCAAATCCCCCAACAGACTTATCCACTTTAAATTTTGTTGTGGGGGGTCAGTGTGGACCAGTGATAAAAACCATTGATTTCCAACAGCCAAGACCTGGGATTGAATTCCGCATTGGGCACTTTTTTACGGAATAAAAAAAAATCGCTTCAATAGCCCACGATTCTTGAAACAATCCAACCCCACCAGTGAGTACTAGTAACCAAACAGTAATCTGGCAGATTTGTAAGTGCATAAGTCAAATTACTTTCCGTATATGTATACATCTGGTACATACTTACAGTAAAAGCAGTCACCAATAACTACCCACCATGATTATCATGGCCTGTACCATGTGTACTAAAAAAAGGATGTGTGTGATCACAAGGTAATAAGACCAAATCCAAATAAATAAATAGTGTGTGACGTTTCGGTAACAGCGTTGTTACCATCTTCAGACAAAAGTACTGAATGAGAGAATTTTACCACAGCATGCTTTTAAATAGTTCCATCTGTTTATCAGATAAATATCTTCTTATCTGTTATCTTGTTTACACACTTGATAACTGGAACTATTTAAAAGCATGCTGTGGTAAAATTCTCTTATTCAGTACTTTTGTCTGAAGATGGTAACAACGCTGTTACCGAAACGTCACACACTATTTATTTATTTGGATTTGGTCTTATTACCTTGTGTTTATAATCTACAATCCAAATTGTGCCTCATCAAGGATGTGTGTGATATAAAAAAAAAAAAAAAAAATTTTGTTGTGTCTAAAGATGGTAACAATGCTGTTACCGAAATGTCACACACTATTTATTTATTTAGATTTGGTCTTATTACTTTATGTTTATAATTTATAAACCAAATTGTACTTTATTATTTGTCGTTGTTATTGTTCATCAAGTCGAGTTTAACCATTGGTGACTATATGGAGAAATATCCTTCAATCTGTGATCTGTTGGTGACCTCCATTTGTAGCGTATCTAGTGACCTTCTCAGCACTTCCAGCCATGTACTTTAATTCAACCGGTTTCCCAATTCTGACCGAATTTAACTAAATTTAATTTAACCAACTATAAAACTACAGAAAGTGTTATCCCTTGTGGTGATTAATTAAAGATATAAAGATGTATTTGACTTTTTTTTTTTTTGGTAGTTTGGTACAATTTGTATTATAGATTAGGTCTTGTCCCTTATATTTTTCCTAGTTTGTTATTTCAATATAAAATCCTTCCTTTCAAAACAACCTTTTTGTAATTAACTCCTTTAACATCAATATTGCTGATGTGACAAAAAAAAAGTGAAGGAAGGGTTTTATATTGAATCAATGGGGGGGTCGGTGGAGGGATGGTCTAAACCGTTGGTTTTTGATCGCTACGACCCAGGTTCGATTCCCGCATTGGTCACTTTTTTCTGTTTAAAAAAAAAATGCCTCAATGGTTCCCCGATTCTTGCAAAAGTCCAACCCCACCAGCGAGTGCAAGTAACCAAACGGGGCTCTGGCACATTTGTAAGTGCAAAGTCGAACTGCTTTTCACATGTGTAGACATGTGGTGCACT